AAATCCGTAACATATACCACCTCAAAGGAATGGGTTTCTTTGGGACACTGAGCTTCACAACATGGCCTGAAGATAAACAGTATCATATTGGTAATACTGACAAAAAATGAAAATGCAATAAGAAGTCATGCCCTTTAGTTTCTTGGTTTTCAAACTTCCAGATTGACAGAGAAATCATTCCAGACAGTCTGCTTGCGTAAGGAAAGACGCGGTGCACAGGAAAACAGAGTTAAACCAAATACAGCGTTATAGTTGTAAGTAATACCTTGACTTATACCTGGAAATACGTCAGAGGCTGTGTGATCCTGGGAGTCAATGGTAAGAACTTTCTCTGAGTAAACAGTAAGATGCATTTGAGCTAAAGTTTTCCCTGTGGAGACTTGTATATAGTGCTTTGTATTGAACAATTTGGATGTAGCAAAAAGACAACTAGTTGTTTAAGGACTTGAATCTCTTGAGAAACTGGCAGTCGGTCTTCTAGCAGTATACAGCTAAAAAAGTATTCAGATATAGTATTTACCTCAACTGGAGCTGAGTATGCAGAAGTATCCCTAGGTGGCACACGTGACTAATAAAAGTCTTAGTCTGCTTTAAGAGAACATGTAACAGCCTCTGCTATCTCTTCTACTTTTCCAGTTCAGCTAGAATCACACTTCTTTTATTTGTATTGTTCCTATCAACTTGTGTTTGTTTAGCACATGCACAAGAGCAAAAGTAAGAAAATGTGCCTGTGAGTGCAACTAAGCATGGGTGGATGTTTATAAAAAGGAATGTGTGCACATATACAAGCATACAGGTGTAGTGTGTGTGTGTGTGTGTGTAAAGGCAGGTTATTCAGATGAAGGAAGTTCTAATGGTTAAGTTGGTAAGTCATATCATGACTGAATTTTATGCTAATGTACACGTATGCATGTGCACAAGTATGTCAGCAAATCAGTCTGCATAAGGAAGGTTACATGGAAAAACACGTGCACAGGCTTGGTTGTTTTTAGACATATATGTAGGAAGGCAAGGACCTGTGTGAGTGTGTCTGTCAGTCTGTGTGGCTGGGCACTAACCTGTACTCTGTGCCCAAGGTAGTGGTTCTTGGTGATGCCAAGTCAGTATGCACCGATGATATTCTGGGCGGGGGTCCAATTTTACGTCACATGATAACTGTAGAAGAAGCAAAGAAAGGATGAAAATGTCATGCATTCAGATTGCACTGTCTAAGATAACGGAATCGTCTGCTCAATTGTTTGTCCTTAAAAACAGTCTCTTTAAAAACTTGCATTTTGAGGTCAGATGGTGTCTAGTGCAAGATCAAAAGCTGTAGAAGGTAGAGGCTGCAGTATTTAAGGGAAATAAAACTGTGCTATTATAATATTAAAGTGTATGATAGAGTCTATATGCATTAAGTGGAATATTCCAAAGCTGTTCCTGTACTGGGAGTTTAAAGATAGTATCTCTCTGGAAAAAAGCTTTATCGTTTCTGGTCTCTGGATTACACTGCATAAAGATAAAAATTCTATTCGCATTCAAAATCCTGCTAGCTCTGACAAAAGGGAAATGGCCAATCTTTGAAATGAAAAGACATACAGGGGATGGCTCACAATGGAATTTAATGGAACACATTGGAAAATTCATGCAAAAGTGAAGGTCACTGCAAATTGCTCTCTGTTTTAGAATATTTTAGCTGTGAGAGAAAGAAAAATCTGGATGCCTGAGGAAGTGTGAAAGAGAGACACAGGATAAGCAGTAAGAGAAAAGTACATAGCCAAGAACACTAGGAAAACTATAAAAGGTAATGTGGTCCTTGGTACTTTATTTGAATCAAAAATAGAAGAATAATATGTTATAATAACACGCCTTGCATCTATATTAAGCAGAGTTACAATATCCATGATTTCTTATAAGAGTGAAATGACTAGTTTAAGGGATTTACATTGCTTAGGGTGGGGGTCATCTGGGTTACTTATATAAATAACTCAAGAACAGAAAGGCTTTAAAGTTTTTATTTTCTATTGCTAAAACAGAACTATCCGACCCTTTAGGTATTCCCAGATTACTCTGCATTTTTTACCACAGGTTAAAACAAATGTTTTTTTTTAAACAGGAAAGCGTCCTTCCTGCCTGACTGGCAACTGGCTGCCTCTGCATCTGTGTACCTTGCTCCATTAGATGGCCATCTAACTCTTAGAAATTATGGGACTGAATATTACCATTAACAGAGATTGAGAATGTACCTCTGTTTTGTGTGAACTTCCTTCAACTTGCCAGCATTAGTCTAGGGCTCAGATTCCCCAAACAAGACAGCCTTTCAAAGCTCAAAGAGCTGTGCTTCAACATCTTGAGAGAATTTTTAAATAGAGGACAAGATTCTTACCCTGGCTTTGATGATGGTGGGCCGAGGATCCAGGATACCCTGCATTTTCCTCAGTGCGGGAACAACAAAGAGATTGCAGGTGACAACAGCTGACACAGGGTTGCCTGTAGGACAAGGAACAGTTGGTGGTGACTCCCTCTTGACTTACTCTGTGAAATGCTGAAAGCGATCTCATCTTTTTATAGCAATTGCACTCTAAAGGACTCTAAAGAGCTCTTCATTCTATGTACAGGAAACGTTTCATTCAAGACTGGAGTGGCATGTGGCAAGTACACCTGTTGAAAGCTACACTCTCTGGCTGATGGTGTGCTGAAATCCTGCTCTGACCAGAACTGCCCCATGTTCCTCGGGCCCCACCATTTACCTCTGTTCCTCCATTGCCTTTTGTCTTACGCCTAGATTTGTCTGGGGATGAGGCAGGGTTTATTGTGCACAGCTATAGGTCCTAGCTGATAGGGCTCTTGATTCATGATTAAGGTTTCCAAGACCCATGGAAAAATAACTTTCAATTCCCTAACAGAGTGGCAAAATGCTTTAGTACAAATCTGAGGAGAATTCTACTGATTTATATGTTTTCTGTTGACTCACAAGAGAGGTGTATGACCAACGTCTGTCAAATACCATTTGTCTCACACATCTGGACTTCCCTAGATGACAGGTCTAAAATAAATACTACAATCAGACAGATGCTCCATTGATCTCTCCCCTGGAAGAAAATGTACTGCAGCAACTAAAACAGGAGAGAGAGAAAGCACTAGAGATACATCTGAAAACCACCAGCTTATCAAGAACAGGATTCCTTGTGTAGTCAGAAATCCATGCGAAGCCAGAGCAATAAGAATAAAATAAATTCCTCCTGATTTAGGAGGATAGAGATTTGTAGCCAGATCCCTAAGGAAACGTTTATTCTGAACGCGGCAATTTCCCAAGGCGACGCAGCACGCAGGAGGTGAAGCGATGCTGCCCTCTTTTGGTTCCACAGTACGATCATGATAAAAAAAATATTCTGTGACATGTTCCTTGGCACTCCCTCGTTTTTGTCTCCATTTTCAATACTTCAGAGTGGATGCACTGACTTACATGCACAGAATATTTACTGTGAAGGTGGAGGGAGCTGTAGGAAAAAACACCCCTGTATAGTACCACTTACAAAACCCAAGGAAATTGTTGGATGGAAGAAATCGTAAGGCCTGTACACCGGCAAATTCTAAGGACAGGAACAAGAACGAACTCCTTAGTATACCCCTATAAGTCCGTCTCTTCTGGCAATTTCTGGGAAAACCTTACATGTACCTTCCTTAGGGATGCCAACACCAGACATAGGTGCTGTGAAACGTCACTATTCTGTTTCATGTCTGTCATCTATGCACAGCAACAGAAGTAATCCGCAAAACATCTTACCTGGGAGCGCAAAGATTATTTTTCTTACGCCGTCAATATCCAGAGTTGCAAAAGTTGTTGGCAGGCTATGGAAAAGGAAAGCTATTTAATATCAGCACTAGATTTTGACTGAACATTATTATGTTATTATTATTTAAAACATTTGGGAAAGAAAACAAAACAGGATCTCTCTCTCTCTCCGCAGTTCATTAGCACCTGCTGCTTATTCCATACTGGGGGTATAATCCTCTCTTTGTGATGACAGAACAATTAGTTTTTCTTGGTATTCAGCTATGAAGTTTTAAGTAGACTCTTTTGCTTCTGGTGAGGAAACATCTAAAAGCAGATGAAGTAGTAATCAAAAATCTAAATCCTGTCTTCATGCTAGAAGCCAATTAACAAAGAAGTTAATACTGAAATTATGCAGTTACAGAGCTCTCTTTGTTTTTCACATAAGGCTCTCCAAATTTTTTGTAACATTAGTAACTCTCATTTCCCTTACTCCATTGTCTACAGCAGTAGTGACAACAGAGCAGTATTTCAGAGAAGCAAATGCTAGCTAGTCTGCAGATAAACAAATTCAGATACACAGGCAGAGCTGCAGTCAGGTAGGACCTAGGTCTATCAGCAAAGAGCGCTCTCTGCCTTTCAGAGCTGCTCCTGAGTGATCTTTAGTGACTTGTTATCAGGGCTATTACAGTTACACAAATAGGACAGTAATGTGATGGCTCAAGAATGTGGCTGGCAAAGAAAAGGGACTCATCCATTAAAAAAAGTTTCCTATGTACCTATGTTAATATCATCCTTTTAAACATTAGAAATTATACTTTATAGGAGAAATAATTAGGCTGAGTTCTTTGGCTTCATCTTGAGCTAACAACTATCACCCGGTCAGCAGATGAGAGTTGCTGACCAGCAGCAACTTTGGAGATTTGCCACATTTTGATCATTACTACCTAGTTTTATATCTGCTAGGACTAATCGATATCCTATTTTACCAGGGGAAGTTGGTGTTCAAAGTTTCTGTTTTAAAATGTCTCTAACATAACGGGAACTATGTGCCAGACCTCCAAATCTTATAACCAGTGTACAAACTGAGGTGCAAAAAATCTAATTGCTAATTCACATTTACTGGAAACTCTGAATTCTCATATGAGATTTCAACACCGTCATTGGTAAAGTCTTCCAGTACTTTCTTCTGGCGATGTTGCTAGACAAGATACAACCTTACAATAGCTCAGCAACTTTCAGGTCAAGTGGAGGAATGGTAAATCCCAGGCATCACTCTGCAGTCAGGTAGCATCAAAATACAGGCATACAATGCAAATTCTGGCTTCGCTCTTGGAACTTACTCAAGGGAATTTTTCCCAACATAGCAATCACAATTCATGTCTAAGGCCTTTTAAGACAGAATTAATAAAAACTAAGACACAGTATTTGCTATTGCACTACAGCCAATGAAAACGAGTGCTTACATTCTCAGTAAGATTAGATGACCAAATGTTTTGGTAGCAGTAAGAAATATCTTTCTTATGGCATAAAATGAAAATGGATGTTTGGGGAAAAGAAGATTTCTTAAAGCTTTTCTGGCTAGTTATTAAAAGTTTACTGCTACAAGTCTACAGAGGGATCACTAGAAGAAAGAATTACGTTCGTTTTCAGATAAGGCAGAACCAGAATTTAATATTCTGAATTCTCTAAATCAGGTTATCCATTCTTGTCAGCAGCGGAGGCTGGAGTACAGATCCCGCTTTTGGGACTTCCCCACATCAGTTGTAGCAGTATGACAGTGAGCAATTTCCACTCCTGGGCTACATCCAGCATGGGAAAAAACATGCTTTCAGCTCACTTGTTCCTTTTATGGAAGGGAGGTGGTGGTAGTAGCAGCACAAGCTCCAAACCCACATGCAGTTCTTTACTGGATTGTATGCAGAGACAGTAAAAGTATTTGTTTTCACAGCAAACACTCACTTTCTGTTCTGCTCCCTGGCAACACTTACGGGCTAGAGGGAATCGTTCCTGAAAGCTGCACTTGGCCTTGTGTTACTGGACCGTGCCAACCTAGCTTGCAAACAAACTGCACTCCATGGCTAGCGAGGCAGAGCTGTAGACATCTTTCTGCTACTGTACTGTGAAAGGGAACTGTCTATTTTCACTGCATGTAGTTTTCATCTTCTCTACAAAGCACACTTCCAGACTCATTAATTAGCAGTGCTACAGCAAAGGAAAGCAATGCTGAAACAGTTTTCTGAGGCAAACTAAACACATAAAGGATTGTGTTTACTTTAAAATTACTATGCTCAATATGCCAATTAGATAAAACTTTGTAAATTAGCTGTCACTCCACCTCTCTCAAGAAATTGCTTGTTTGTAGGAATATGACATGCAAATTTTGAAGTGAAATGAGATGCTCGTTAAGCAAACCAGCAGTTAAATGTCCTTATATTTCCCGGTTATTTCATAACAATGTCAGTATCTGAGCTCTGTGATCACAGTGAAGACTGTGGCCATGTTTATAGCATGCTGGTTTCCCCCCAGTCCCCAAACCTGATTTGCAACAGTTATCAGAGAAATATCTCTTACTGATAAAAAGTAATCTCTCTGTTCCAGTTCATTTCACCCATAAAGATGATGACTAATCTGAATAGGACTGATTTTGCTTCTGTTCCCATATATATATCTACCATGTGGTTTATAGTATATTTGGAAAACTGAAATCTACTGAGGCACTTTTATAGGATATTTGGCCCGATATAGCCTCCATCTATGCTGCCTAAGTAGAAAGATTTCTTACCCTGGTTTCATAAAAACTCTGCCAAAGTGAATCTGTGCGTGAAGATCAATATCCAGCACCTGTTTAAGATAGTCCTGTTTAAATTCGAAAAAGAAAATCGATTAAGTAACATCAAAGTGGCTTACATCATCTAAGCATTCAAAGCAATTAATTAATATCAAGTGAAGATGAAAGACTTTTCATATCCCGAAAGTGCTACAGTCCAGTGGGGAATTTCCAGTATTTGAAAGAAAGTATTTTCAAAAAGAAGAGGTGAAGAACAGACTCATTTTATGTGCCAAACCTGACTCCATGAGGACATAGTAACATATTTACTTAAAAGTCAGCTGCAGCATCAGAGTCTTAGAGGACCCCACAAATACCTACTACTAAAACATTCTCTGTGTCAAAGATGGAAAAAAGCCTTTATGGTTCAAAGTTAAGACTTAAATCACCAAGTTATTAACTTTTGCCATGGAAGCTATCTAGCAGTAGAGTTAGAGATCTCCTAGTACTTTTGAAATCAATACTTGTACTGTAGAAATCATAGTTTTCCAGGATACTGTAATTATTGTAATTTCTTGGGGACATGGCCTAATTCACAGTGGTTGGGTTTAACAGTCCTTAGAAAGGAAAAACTGTGGGTGGCTTGTGCGTTAGTTCAAGTTAAATGATTTTGCATAAAGACAATCAACCCATTTAATAAAACAAACTGAATTACTTCTTTAGTCTTTATTGAAAATTGCTGTGCTCAAAGACGCAGTATCCTGTCTGTTGTGTTTAGTGAGATTAAAGACACAGGATGTAACAGTCATCTGTGAAAAGAGACTTTGGAAGCAGTAAATCTGAAGCTCCCTTGCAGTTTTCCCATCTTTCTCTTTTTTTTTTTTTTTTGTGTGTGTGTTCAAATACTTGCAAAGCAGCAACTTTTTTCAGCCAGGCATGAATTCTCAATTATTGATTGTATTAACCCCGTTTTTACTTTCTATTTACTTTTTGGATGTTCACAGTTATTTCATTGAAACTGTTGAAATCTCAGTAGCAGAGGGCTAACCATCAGTGGAATATAGAGCCTATTGACTTTATGCTGTTGCCTCAAATTCAGACTGAGGAGAAAGTAGCCAGAAGGCATAAATGCCTGTAAGACCGTTCAGCAGTCCAGTCACTTCCTAGCGTTCCTGTGTCGGTACTATGTCGCCACATTCCCAATTTAAAGACCAGCACTTGTCCTTAGTTATTTTTCTAGGAATACTGAGGACAATAATGCGATTGAAAGTAATTGGCACTGGTTTAACTAGTTATCCATTTTCATGATGTATCCAACAATATGATTTCTACTCAGAAAAGTGACAAAAACAGCACTCATGTTTGCCATCTCCTAATGACTGTCTTTAGTATCTGTTAGTTATAAAAGGAGAGATGTTTCTTTTACCTGCCAAACTCACAGATTCAGCCTGGGATCAAAAAGTAATCTGAGTTTTCCTTCGCATAAGTCATGATTAATAAATGTCCTGCAGGTTCATCTACGCCCCACCAGCATCTGTGTATCCCTATTTTCTTTGATGGTTTTGGCACAGGGATTACCAACAGGAACTCAATCAACAATTCTGTTAATGATTCAAAAGGCAAATATATCAGCTCACTGTGTCTCGTATGTATTGCCTCTGTAGGACTATCAGGCGCAAAATGTGATAAAACTATTTTTGTAACAGATATAGCTTTGGCATGTTCAGGAAACAGATCTGCTGAGTAAGAAAGAGCTATTTATATACTCAGGTTGCTTTTCGAAGTACTTTCAAAGTAGCTTTATTCTATCTACATTTTACCTGCTCTGAGAATAAAAAGAAGTCTGTTGCCTTCGCGTGCTATTAACCAAGCACCTTCCTCATCATAACTACATAAATCATTCCTTAAATAAAAACACATTTGCGAATCAGTCACATCAAGAATTAAAATCTTCCCTGTTGTACTATGTCTACTATAGTACGGTAATAAGAACAAAGGGAATGAGGACAGCATTGAAGACTATTTTCTTAATTAATTCGCATTTAAGTGTTCCAAAAAAATTAAGATCCCGTTTTAATAAATATTAATACAAAGGTAGAAGCTCTGATGACAGACTCTGGCTTGAAATCCTTACATATATTGTAGCAAGTCATACTTAAATTTAGCATACCTTTTCCCCCATAGATACACCTCCTGATGTAATGATCACATCAGCACGGCTGATACCCTCATTCAGTGCATTCAGTAAATCATCTGGGCTACAGAAAAGAACAGGCAAGCAGATTAGTGACATGCAGCTATTATGAGTTGTAGCGTAAATAAGTGTCTGTGTGCACACATACAGACGTATATACACACACGTATATTAAGAAAGAGATACAGCTCTAGGATAATGTAAGATCTTTTCCTTCTTAAGACTCCACACTGCTCTATTCAAGTCAAGAACTGCAATCTCATTAAGTGAACACCACACTGGCACCTTTCTGTCTAAGAGCTTTGCAACAGGAACAGTGGGATACTTTAGGTTGTGACTGAAGAACACTAACACAAGTGTCTAAAAGTATGTAATTTGCACAGTAAGTAGCAATACAAATTATGATTTAGATGAACTGACAGGGCTATATAAAGGGACCTGACACATGAAAATTACTGGCCACCAAGCTGGCTGCAGTACTACCTGTCTAGCTTATTTGATGTGTGCAAAAATGGGGATAAGGCTCCACTTCAAACTTCCATCAGTGAAAAGTGGGAGTAAATCCTTTGTTTATCTTCTTCATTAGAGGGCTCTGCAGCAAAGCCAGCTGTACATCCACTTCATCTTGACAAACACAATCCATCCTGTTCAAGTGTCTATTTACCTTCATGAGAAACAGTCTAAGGGGAGCTGTGATGTTCCTCCAAACAAAGAGTATAACTGTGAAGGTGAAGGATAGAAGCTGAGTATATTTCAGTTTTGGTGTCTTAACTCTTTTTTTTTTTTTTTTAGATCTAAACTGGAAACTTTGAAGTGGGCATTAGCTATCCAATAGCAGTACTGATGCTAATACAGAGCTTCAAGGCATGCAGTGGAGAAACTCGGTAATACAACTTACACAAGACCAAAGGAATCTAAAAGAATTTCCAATATTTTAAATGCATACTTTGCATTTAACATTTGTGAACTGACCAGAAGCTGACCAATTGCTATGGCTGTATGTAATGTTCCTTCAACAGTATGTTTTTACTTTAATGATCCTGAAAGTTTTTCATGGGAGTCTGTTCCTTCTTAGAATGCAATTGAACAAATGGGCAATAATGCTAGTGACTGTATAAGGGACTTTACCTGGAATACAGCACCTCAGTTAAATGCCACACTACAATTACAAAATGCCATTACGGGTTATCAAGGCTTTGCAGGCTGCAAATGGCATGTGGGCTATCCTTCGGGAACTTTGGCTATATTTCACTGAAAGATAGAGTCACTGCAATTATTTTGGGGTTCAAACTGGAAACAGGAAAATTAGAAATACTGTGCAAGTCCTGGTTGACCTTTCAGAGACTAACAGAAACTGTGTGTTTCAAAAGGTCTCAGAAAAAAAAATCCTTTCCTCTGAGCATCCTGTCTTTGCCCATGGTTTAGTGAAATATAAGCAGCAGTTAGCATTATGTGGTGCTGTGCGCACTACAATTTATGTGACACAAGAAAACTGCGCTCCCTCACTGAGTAGAGATATCAAGTGCATGCAACCCTGCACACTCCTCATCTCCTCACCAGAGCCCCCTCAGGTGTCCTCTACCCTGGTTATGCCTTACAGGCAGAAAGACTCAAAACCCTTGCTCCACCATGTCCAGTGACGGATGCAGCATCTTCTTTGGCATCACAGTGTGGTTATCCTGCACAATTTTTCTACTTGTGTTGGGTTACTTCCACTCTTTAGGGTCATATTGCTTTGTAAGAGGTAGGCAATAAGCTACAGCAGAAGGAAGGGCAGATTGCTGGTGCCATAGTGTAGGCTGTAATCAATCAGATAGAATTATACACTACCTTTTTTTTAAAGGAATGAGTGGCTGCAGGTATTGTGGCATACCTCCACGACTTTTGTTTAGGGTACCGGGTATCTTGGGTACTCTAAATGGCCTGTAATGAATGGCTGAACTCTGTTTTCTTTGGGAGAAAATATAAAACATACGGACTCGAGCAAAACCATCTCCTTTTTTGTTCTTTAGGAAACAGAGGCATTTTCTCAGCTGCCCCTTCTGACATCTCAGGATCATTTTATCCAAAAACCAGCACAAGTCTTCATTAGTTGTTGAAGGCAAGAGGAAAAAGCAAGTCTGTTGTTGGCTACTGTCAGTGTCTTCTTCAGAACCAACTGTTTCATATTAATTGTCTAAGTAGTAATTTGTATGTAATAAGATACTGCTTAAGATTATTATAGCGTTTGTAATAGGAAAAGTCTCTCAAGATCTAAGTATTCCTTAATCCTTGCCAATGAAGGTGCAGATTGGAAAGCAGCAAGGAATATGTATTCATTACACAGGTCGATATAGGCCTTCCTGAAGCTCGATGACACTCAGACACTCATGCCGCTACTACTAGGCTAAGACTGCTTTCAGTATATTTTTCCCATTAGGTTGTGATGCAGCTAAGGAACTTATCTGGAGCTTGCTCCAGGCTGTTTCATTTTATCTTGCTTAATTATTTAAAAGTTATTCATAGGTAGCAAGACCACCTGTCTGGGGACATCCTAATTCTGGATTATGAAGTGTGCTTGCTTTTGGTTGTGGTTTGAGAATAATGGAAGGAACAGTAAAAAGCGAACGAGTCTACATTTAACTGCTGTTAAATAGAATGGAAGTGCTCCTACTTACATACCAAATATATATATGTGTGTATATATATAAAATTACTTAACAAAGGAAAAAAAAAACCCAAACCCAAAATAAGCCCGAACTCAAACCAGGTGAGGACTCAGTTCACACCTTTGTTTATGAGGGTAGCATACCACTGGAGTAGCTCATCATACAGTTTTTTTATTACATGTCATGTAAAAAGTTGAATATTACTGGACTTGGTGCATTTTTTTAGCATTTCCAGTAGAATGACCTGTATAATATATCCCTTTCTCTACCATCTGTATAATGCAGGACATTTAAAAATTCTACCACTAAAACTTTATCCAGCCGATAGCACTACATATCATCTTTAGGTAGTTGCAAAATGCATTGAATTCTTCCAAAATGAAAGATGTGATAGAAATTTTATTGTAATAAACTGAATGATTATGCTAGTTTGGTTTTTATTCTGAAGAAAGGAGACATTTACAGAATTCCCTCCCTTGCCTTTGCAGAAGGCTTTTCTCTTTTTGCTATATTTGGCACATTTCTTTTTGTCACTCAGGTCTGTCTAACTTTCTGTCCTACTTGAGGCTGGTAGTTCCACGATTCTGCAATTAACACTAAACACTCCTTACAGGAGTCACCTGCTGTAATCTTCAGTCAACACCATAGCAAACATTTTCCTTGCCTTTAGTAGATTTAATGCAGAGAGTTGTCATTCAAATTGCATATTAACACATATTTGATATAATCAGATAACAAGATACTACTTCTCGTTTCATTTGTTGAGTAACAATGAGCAGCTTCTCCTTTGGATTGACATGGAAAGGGAATAAATAACTGAAGACTGTTAACTTCTGAAAGAATAGACAAAATAACTCTGGCATCTGAGCATAACAGGACAAGATTGTTCTAAAAGGCCTGTGACAAATCACCATGAAGCTGAGAAATAACTCGCTGTCTGAGCAGGTACAAATCAGAAGCTATATTCTGAAGCCCTGGCCATTGCTAGGGGCAGGATACCGGATTAGCTAGACTAATGGTCTAATTTACTATGATAAATCCTTTAAAATGTCTTGTGAAAGTGCTATTCTTGGATTTTTTTCCTTCATGGACAGAACTGTAACAGGTGCTCAAATATAATGGTGAATACCTTAATCAATGTAAAGTAGATTTTGATGGGAAGCCTCATTTCCAGATGGCAAAACTATTCTGTTTCATTTGGTGATTTTCAAAGTCAGAGTGACACTGCGCACAGGAAGGGAGTGTGCTTTTCTAACATGCTGCAACTGATATAAAAAAATTATACACTCTGTATGTTTCAGACCAGATCCCAGCATCTTCTGTAAATGCAACTAAGAAAATTTGTTCTATAAGGATTACAGTTTATGAAACTATTCATATAGGTAAATAAGCACAAATCCAAACTTTCTCTCAACAGTAGAAATCCCCATCTACAGCAGATTGTGTCTGCGCAAATATTATGTGTATTGTACATACATTTTTGAAGCTGCAGACATAATGCTTTGCACAAAGAGTCCAGGTACTTTTAAGTATATCTTTATATTCTCTGCTAATTTTGCCAGTCTGATAAACAGAGTATCTACTTTACTACCTCAATTTCCTGACCCTCTTTATTCAGTTTTATGGAACAGAATGGGCAGTACAATCTGGAAATTACTTGGAGGGTATCTGTTGTATAGTGGCAGCAGCATGCGTAGAATCCAGCAAGCAGATGCATGACATAACAGTTGACATGCCACTTGACTTCTTTAATTTGAAGAGAGGGCTTGCAGGATGGCAGTATACCAGAATAGGAACACCTTCTGGATTCATGAAAAATTCTGATTATCGAAGCTAGTTTGTGGAAAACTGTTATGCAGCACTTGATTACTAGGCTGTCTTTGAACTGAAAAGATACACAGGCGCTTGAGAGCTTGAACAAGGAAATGATGTAAGCCTCATTAAAATAGACATCAGCCACGTAGAAGATTTTTTCCTTTATCTCAAAAGAAATAGCTACAGTACAGTCAAGACCAAAGAATTCTCTGTTTTAAGTGCCATTTTGAAGCACCCTAAATTACAGTGTAATTTTCTCTTTCAAATAGAAATCAACATCTGTTAATTCACTTCTGTTGATCCTATTGTTGTGCTTCACTGTCATTAATTAAAAAATCTGTCAGCCTTTTCTGCGATACAACCCTTAACACCAGCAGTTTGATACATGCAATTAAACTGCTCAGTTTTCTAATTTAATTTAGAAAACAAATAACAACAAATGGTGATCTGCATCACCTACCACTCTGCAGTAAAATGAGCGATTCCTGTAAAATTAAACTGGAACCTTTAGTTAGGACTGACTTATCAAGCCATTGTCACAGTACAAAATCCATAGTTCATTACTAATTTCCAGGACCATTTCCACCAAGTTCTTTGCCACAGTAGTCTCATTCATTCAAGTTAACCTCATTACCTGACAGTCATTTCCAGTCCTTGTTGTTCATTGCCATGTACAGCTATTACTGTTGGGTGACTACTAGAAACACTTGTGATTGTTGTACTCTTCTATGCATCAGCCCAGGCTTTTATAAACCCAGGTCTTCTGGAAACCTGTACTTGCAAAATTTGTGCATGCAAACCATCACAGTTAAGCACCTTAAACCTGTGTGCTTACAGATATATTGGACACAGATACAGAAAGATATACATGCACCATAATGCACCAGACATGCAGAAGTGTCTATTGTGAGTACAAAAGCAGAGCTGGGTAACCTTTCTTGCCTACTGTTTTACTTCATTTGAAAGCACCTCAAGCATTTCAGTTATATGCTGAAATAATTACCCCTTCAGACGTGATTCACCTCACAGATTCAGAGGAGCTACAGATTCCTGGACACATAGTGAAAACTGAAGTGCTAGCAGTGATCTGACACCAATCACACTAAAGACCAAAGTAGACCAGCTGCTCCTCTAAACTACAGCACTTGACTGTAAACTTCAAAAGGCTATGTGCCGTCTGTAGGCACCCTGATTTTTGCACATTTTGGCCATGCCCACACAAGCTGGGAACAGTGGTTTGTGCTAGTTTTGTGTCTTATGAAGTCTCTTTTCTGCTAAACAGATCTCCCAGAAGAAGAAAAGATTTAACTAAGGTACAAGGACCTGCTAGAAACTCCCCTTGTATGCAAAGATCCCAATCAAGCTTCTAGTTTTACATCAGAAAAAAAGAAGAAACACCTCCAAAACAACAAAGAATTTATCAAAGTAAAACTTTCATCAAAAAACCAAGAGACTGTACTTATTGTACTCAGACAGAGATCTCATCAAGCTCAATGACATTTCTGTTTGAGGAAAGATGGGATATGGTTTTGATCCTTTATGATTAACTCTCATTTTTCTTCTTGTGCTCATTCAGTTGAGGTGACAGATTTCAAAACGAATAGACGAATGCAGCTAGGCATAAAGACAAAGTCTGTCACTCACTTCTCACCTCATGGCCAAGAGGAATATTTTGCATATCAGTAATCTGCAGCATGCAGAATAGTGAATAAATGCCATATTAGGTTTAGCCAACTAAAACCCAACTTCTGTAGAATGTAATATTGAATGTAATTTGATGAATGTATTTCAATGAATGTAATTGAATGAATGAATATTTGAATGTAATAGGAATTCTGTGTTTTGACTAGTATGGATTTCTAAAGCAGAAGAAGATCTGATTTTGATGATGTATGTAGGAACATATGGGCACTCTTCTGAAACTGTATTTGTTTCAAAATTCTCCAGTGTATTTCATCATGTTCTCATAATGTGTCTTCCTTCTACCTTCTGTGGTATTTCCCTGGATCACTTTGAACAGATGCAGTATGTTTTCCCTAAGAATACAGGCCAGCTTGTGAGGAAAGCTGGAATAATTACAGTAGCTTTTGGCTTGTTCAACATGACTATGTAAGTTTTGACTATCTGATAGCAACATAAAAGCATCTGTCTTTGTTACTTTTTGCTGCTCCTTTAATTGATGCTGCTACAAATAAGAACACTATTTCGCAGAGCATTCTTTTTCATGTTACATTTATGAACTCAAAGAGACTTTGATTAGAGGTCTTCAACTCTTTGCTGAAGTTACCATGAGATCTGCCTAACGCCTTCAACTTTTTCTCTGTATCTGGATGATATCATATTTTACTCCACTGTTTTCATGAACTGTTTCAGAAGACTCCCACTCATATATATGCCAGAACGACAAAAGACCAGAGAGGTCAGAAAAAGAGATAGGTGTGGGAGCGCAACAGGAAAAGGTCCCGTGTTGTAGAAGCCAGGTGCTTATGTACTACGGAGCACGTTCCTACATGAAGGCATTACGTTGTTGATGGTTGGGTCCTGTATCGCATTCATGTCTGTACAGTCATCTGCAAGCATCTGCTTGTGAATTGTAGTGATTTTTTTCATCAATGCTGAAAGAACAGAACCAAAGCTTTGATAACAGTTGTCTTCAAGTGCTGTGCCATTGTACTAACCCGTGAGCACTTTATTCACTCTAAATCCAAGCTAGTGTGTGTCCACTGAATGTAAGAAGAAGCCTGAGAACAGCTGGTTTCCATTAATTAATAAATTATCCCTGGCTATTTTACTGGCTGAGGACAATGAACCTTATCCCAATACTTGCCAGAAATCCATTAGTTTTTCCAAGAAGTTGGATGGGATTTCACTGGTAAAGACAATAGCTTCTATTTTATGTTCCTTCTTATGAAGGAAGTGAATCTGTATGGATTCACTGAAAAGTTTTCACTTTTGGAGTGGAAAATATTCAACAGTTGTAGCTGGGTTGAAATAATATGACTGAAGATTACACCACACAATACAATAATCGGTGCCAATGACATTGCTCATCAGTAAAGATGACAGCGCACTGACTCTGAAGGGTAGACATGGTTCTGAGGTTCTTTCTTTCAGAGCTCTCATGAAATACGAGAATTGGCTTATACTGACATAACGGAAAGTAAAATATTATGATTGATGTAATTAGTGCCAGTTGCTCATATAAAGCAAATAGTATTACAAAATCTGACACATGGTGACATGGTATTGTTATCATGGAATTTCTTATCTTTTCATTTTGCTTTAGCTTCAATTTTAAGTAAGACTAAATTTTAAATAAAATTTTAAGTGAATTTTAAGTAAATTCATCCCCCCGTAAACTGGTGTAACTGCTATTGAACTACAGTATGGCTGTCTCCATGACAGTAGAAATGCAGTCCCTAAAGACAATGCCTCAAAATGAAGGTTTTCTCTGTAAAGCTCCACCTTTTACAGAATCATAACTTAGTCACTTGGAAAAATGTCTGTCTCCAGAAGAAAAATGACTTGAAAGCCACAGGTCGGAGACAATATAAAAAGGCCTTTTAAAATTCCCTGTCATCAGCTATGTCTTAAAACAAATAATTATTTTTTAGAAAATGTCAAATGAAAGATGACATCGATTTTTGTTTACTAAAACATAATACAAATTCTCCAAGAAGAGTAAACTACAGTTTATTAGAAATAAGTGAAGAGAAGGAACAGGAAGAGAAACTTATCCTGTTTGAGACCAGCAAGTCAATTTTTTGACAGCTGTTAGTCAATGGAAGGAACTAGAACTTCATTTGTCTCTACAATACTGGACTATATTCCTTCAAGCACAAAGATGTTTTTAGTGTAAGAAAATGCCCATTGCATTTTCTCCTGCTCTGGGAGCAGAAGCATTTTCTTATTTGCTTCATGCTTTGGGTAGCAAGGCTTTATTCTAGGGGCTGTTTTTTGTTGATGCTTGCCCCAGCACTGCTTAGAAGAGCCCAAAGGCTCATTTAATGTGTCCTCTAGATTTAGGCTGTTAGCAATGATACGTGAACTGACTTGTATGAGGTATTCCAAGCTGATCACCTGCTGGTAGATTCCAGCTTCTAAGCAATTCCTGATAAAGCAGACAGTCTATATCATGTTCTTTGCATTCATCTAAAATGTTTTAAAGACTGCAGGTTCTTGTAAGCTAATTGCAGTTAAGTTTTTTGGGATGTGTAGGATATAGCGTAAGATTCTAGTGGGTTGATTTCTTTAGTCAATTTAATGAGGAAAACCTAGATTTATGACAACCTGGCTTCAGCATGAACAACCAATTGCTAAACAAGAACAAGTCTTTTGAAGGCTAAGGATATGGCAGATTGATCCAGTAATGAGTACAGAAACTTGTTTTTCCAGTATGCAAAGCGAACGTAAAGCTAAAACTCAATCCTCCAACCTTTTGTTATAAAAACAGGCCCATTAACCTCAGTGAGGATCCTCACATGACTGAAGTTTTCAGGTACTAGCCTTCGATAGGTTTTTCATTACTTTTCTGCCTATTTTTAATTCCTACAAGAATCAAACTATACACTAATGTTTCTGTTTGTTAATGGAGAAAATGACAGGTGGTTTACTCTCCCCCTTTGGCCTGTCTGTGATAGGAGGTAAGTTCTGTAAATTAACCTATATGATTAAGCCATCCCCCTAAATAAGACCTAGTATATAATTGTACATGTATTTTGGAAAAAAAGCGTAGTGGATAGTTTAGAGATTTCATGAACATTCCAGTTAGCCTGCTTTAGAGATGATTAGTGTGGTAATGGAAAAACAAGTATGCAGGTATGACTGAAGAGTCATAACAGTGACTTCCCTAGAGTTGTACTCCACTACTACCTTCAAGCAGGTTTCTTCCTAATTTGCTCTATTTTTAAAAGGTAAAAGCCTTGATGGATGAAGATGTTTGCTGCTACTGACAAGTAATGTAAACATTCTTGGTATTACAGAATTTTAATTTTATCAACGTTGTGGAGCCATGTGCGTCTACAGTGCACTGGTGCATAAGAACTTAGCTGACAAGGCAGTGTTATTTAGTGGACAGAATAAAACACCGTTTGCTTCTGTATGGCAACCATTGGTAGAATCCGTGCTCCAAGCTCTGCACTGACAGACACCTAGTTGAGTCTGCCTGTGAGCATGCATGTGCCTCAACGTCCCAAGTGTTTTAAAAACAGTGCTCACCAATCTGGTAGGCCTGTCTCCGCAGTGTTCTGGAAGCTCTGTGTCCCTTCTTCTTTAAAAACGTCTGGCTTCCTGAGGGTAAAGGAAGCAGAAGGGGTATAATAAAGAGCCAGGGAAGGAGAGAGGCTCCTGGGGTGAAAGGGATGCTCCGTGCCCAGCTGTGTCCCCCTTGGTGGCTCTGAATATTCAAAATCATCATAGGAAATGCTTCCTCTCTGCAAGGCCTGCCAATGGGAGAGAAAGGGAGTGCACGGGAACACCTTTCTGTTATAGTTTGGACAGGCTTCTCACAAGGATGAAGAGTGAAGTTATGGAAGGATTTAGGCTCAACTGGGCATGCCAACAATACGTAGTTCATCTTTCCTTGCAGAGTCTGTGGAGAAACTTCTTTACTCTTGACTTCCAGACAAAGCAAAATGAAGTGTTAAACACTTTGACATTTTGGAAGGAGGACCACAGACAATGGGAAAATACTTGGAGATGAGCCCCATTGAAACATTTTTACTCACACTTTCTAGCTTCTTATTCAGGAAATGGGTCTCAATGCATATTAAAAGTCACCTTCTTGACTACAAGGGGGAAAGGGCTGTATTTATCCTGGTTTTATATCTCCATAGTCAATAAAGATGCCACTTCATTCATGAGAAGCTTCATACCCAGCTACCCTGCTCCAAGAGGCAGGATTAGAAAAAATGTCCAAAACTGAAAAAGTTACTGCTATCAGGACCTTATTTAAAACAATTAAAGTTTTGCTATGAATTCCTGTTTTATGAAGACAGCATTTCCTTTTACATATACTTCTTCCAAGTCAGTTTCATTGGGAAGAAATAATTTTTAGATAGTGTCCTTTGTAACAGAAATAGGAAATAAGCCAAAATTATGTTTTTATACTTTAAATGTAGGAAAATTAAATGTAAAATGTAAAAAATCTTCATTTGACATGAAGATTTATAAATGTCTCTTTTAAAAAAACTAAAATAAGATGTTCAAGACTGAAAAGGACCAGGTCATGAATCGTCACTGCACAACTCTTGAGCCCTTTCTTCTTTTCAGATGGCTGAACTGTTAACCACAAAGTCAAGCTCTCTCTCCAGTCCCCAGTCCAGGCTCAGCTGATCCTGCACATAGCAGGGGCAGCCTATCATTTCAAAGATCACTTCTGGGCACACACAGATCCTGTCTGACTGAGGAATGTGAGGAGAAGAGTGGGCCAGTGCGCCTGCACTATTGTTATACTGTTATGCATGCACACGGACACTGCTAACGTGAAATCTAAAATCCTCTTTGTCACCTTGTAAATCCATGCCTGGCTCCTCCTCATAGGTCATCACAGAAAGGGTCTGTTAGATCAGATGTGTACCAATGTTGTTTGGAAGTCATGGAAAAATACTAAAACTATTCAGGTTGTAAGTTTAGATGTCCATTTCTTTCTGACAGTTTTCCCAAGATAGCCATTTCCTAAAATGGCTTCAGTCCCTCAGTTGTTCTTCTATTCATTGCCAGAGAACAAAGTCAGTCTTTGTTTCTCGAAATAGGGTCACTGTGTCAGGAAGTGACATACAAAAGACTTTCAGATTTCGTAAGTGATCCCAGCTTCTGGTTTACTCATCAACATTACGGACAGCAGCCTCAAAAGTCAATAACTTTTTCCAGTAAGGTGCTAAACTCTAAGAGTACTCTCACTCTCACAATGTTCTTCTCCAAGAAGGCAGGCTGAAACTACAGATGTTTCTAAACAACACAATGAATTGCACAGAGGTAAGGAAATCAAAAGCATCTTGTTGAAATTTCCGGAAAGTTTCAAATTCATTTGAGCATCACATATCAAAATAGCCAAAGCTCTGACTGGCATTCTGTCTTTATAGATCACTGTTGCTGTGTTATTTCTGCTGGTACTGGTCTTCTGAGCTTGTGCTTCTACTACGTATTGTCCATTAGTATAACATGAAAATTAATTTAATGCTCTGAAGTAAGAGTTAAGAAATTATTTGCAACCAGGAGAAATAATTTTGATAGTTTTGTCTGATTTGGTATTTAATATAGTCTGGGAACCTCCCTGAACTTGCTTCTGTTTGAACTGTAGATGACATTTAAATAAATATCCAATCTTGCACTGAAATGAGTATCTATCAAAGCATTTGATCTAGTTTTCTAATCACAATGACTTTCATTGTTAAAATTATGCTTTATTTACAGTCTGAATTAGCCTAACTTTAATATCTAGCCATTGCTGCTGAAATAGAAACTTTATTAAAAGTTTTTTCTCCATGTGGCTCAGTATTATTGGAATGTAATCAAGTCATCTTGTAAGAATATCTTTGTTGAACTAAACAGCCCGAGTTCTGATACTGTTGGAGTATACGGTCCATCTTTCAACCACTTAAAAAATTTAATGGTTCTCCTCTGAATTCTGTACAATATACTGTTGTCTTCTTGTCCTGGGAATACAAAGGTAAAGTCAAAAATAACCTTCTACTTCTACAGGAGACTTAGCTCTTTATACATATGCTAGAACTTGTATTTAGCAGATCACTTGCTATGATTCTCAAATCTTCTCCTAAATCTTTACTTTTCAGGATATAATCCTCCATCCTGTAAATTTTACTTACATTCTTTAGTCCTATATATATCAATTCATACTTGTATTAATAATACACTAATAACCAGTTTTCTGAGTGATTCATATCGCTGACACAGTGACCCATCTTCAACATTCACCACTTCTTTGATCTTTCTGTATCTACTGCCTTTATTAGTTTTAATTATTTTCTTCTAGGCTATTAATAGTAAAAATTCAATCCTCAAAAATTTCTCGGTGACTTGGGAACCCAAATTCCTACGTATGATCTAGATATTAAGGAGGTTGAAAGTCATTTAAGCAAATGCTATTTTGGCTCCTAGAGGCTGAAGTTCTTTTGGAAACAGAACTTATGTCTCCAGGTATTTTTTAAAATGTTAACATATGCCTCAAAAATAGACTACAGTAGTTTTTATTTCACTCCAACAAATACAGTTACAAATTCCCTCTGTTTTCAAATATAGGAGGATTTTCACAGTATTCTGTCCTCTCTACTATTTGGTCTTTAGTGTCATGTTCTACTACTGGGCTGTGATTCTATAAATGCTAATTCAGGAAGAAGTCCATGCTTGTGTTGAGGACAATTAGGAGAATGACACGCTGTTGTGCATTAGCTTTGCACCTGTCACCTCTACAGCATGAAATTTTATTACCTGTCACACTATGTAGTTTCCTACTGGTACAGAAGATCCCCTGGGACTTGCACTGCCCCATTTCACTAGTTCTTTTTTTCACTTCTGTTTTGGCTCAGATGTTTCTTTGTGTTTTTTGAATATGTGCATTAGATGAGATGACTTGTCACATATGACAACGTATCTGAAGTTTGCCCTAATGATTATCAAGAGTTGTGACAGATATTAAACATTTCTGCTTGAAAAGGAGAATATTCTTCTTGACAGGGCACAATGAAAGACAGGACCTCCATATCTGAATCACCTTCAAAGCGATACCCAGTGTCCCTGGATTCATTAGGCTATGATCACACTTTGTAACACCATCATTCTTTGAGCAGATCTAGAACAGAAGTCACTTTAGCAAAAACTAATATTGTGACATTTGATTTGAGGCCTTTTCTCTAATAAGCCTTTTCTTGCAGTCATTTGTTAAATGATACTACTACTACTACTACTACTAATTCTGTTCACAGTATATTTGATTGTACCCAAGTTGGACATTAAACTGGTGCAGGGAGAGGCTAGGATTCTGTGGCTGAATTCTGCCTATAACTTATATTCTAACTCATAAGATGATATATGTCAAGTCGATATTGCATGAGAAATTTTGGAGTTAGAGCGGTTTCCCCGCTCTTATCCCTCCACTCCAGATGTTCCATCTGAATTATAATACTGGTAATTACATGCAACCCACACAAGTACATAAGATTTAAACCTCTTTTTGGATGGCAAACATAAAATTCAAGCAGACTAAATCCCTGAATAAGATCTTAGTATCCCTTCCAAAATCTGAAGGGACTCTTTCAAAGCCTTTATTTTAGGGATATCATACAGTAACGCTGTCAAAATAGCAAGGGTGATTTTTAATCGGTTTACCTGTCACTTAGGAGCTCTATGTCAAACAATATGTCATAAAAGAGAGATATATAAATGAGAAACTAATCACTTATAATGTCGAAAAACGCTCACATGCTGCTGATTTTATAACTATTCTGATAAATTTTTAAAGCAACTGAGCAGATAATATGAATTTCCTAAATGTTTCTCCTAAGGGGAGAGAGAGATTCTTTCCCTCTCCATTGTGAAATCACAGGCTCATATATGGAAATGCAGCTTGAAGCAGCTAGTTATACATGTCTCTGAGAAAAATGGCAAGGGAATTAGAAAACAGGGACAAGAATGCAGAGAAAGGGAAAATGCACTCATGTAAACAAAGGTAAAAACAGAGGAAATTGAATTCATTACATACGTGATCAAAATTCTTTAGCGAGTTTAATAAGAGAGTCTCTCATAGAAGGAAAACTGTCAAAATGGAAGATGGCTTTCTAAAACAGAGGCTCATGCTATAGCAGATTTTGCTAGGGCTAAATTTCACAGCTTTAAATAAACAGTGAATACAAAGAACAACACAAGTGAAATAATCAGACACAAAAATATCCTGATAATTAAGTTAGCAGAGTGCTACAGATCAGATCAGAGATGTAACTCTTGTTTTTATCAATGGTTTCCAAAGAACCAAATAATTTCAGAGACTATAAGCAAAGAAAATGAAATTAGAAACCTTTTTAACTTGGTCTTGTTATATGAGACAACACTCAAAAGTACATTGGAATACCAGTTTTAACTGGCCAGTTGTTTTTGCAATTTTTTAGCAAGTGATTTTGTGATTCAGACAAAGATGTAAGACACAACAGTAAGAACAACATCAGAAGGGTTCTTCCTTTTTTTGGTTTTGCATTTTTCTTGTGTTTGGAATAGTTCTGGAAATGGAATATCTTCCATTTTTACGCAGAGATGTGTGCTTTTCAAACAGCTTGGTTTTTACGTGCTAAGAACACAAATAGAGAACATCTTGGCTTCTAGCCAGACATAACTTCAGCTGTATTGCATTTTCCAGGTTTGTTCTTTTCTCCTATTGCTTGCTTCTAGGATTTTTACTGCAGATTTTATCTATATGTTTTGGACTTGCTGTTTTTCATTTTGAATATTGAGTCATATATACAATTTATGAGAATGGAAACAAACAATGACAATCTCAGAAATTGTTAAAATGCTCCCAAAAGAAGTAAAATACTGGTTTCAACTGAAAATACAAATATAGGCTAAGTGAGACTTGAGTGGCCAGTTCAAAATATAACTTCACATATGATTAATACACAAAGGCATTTTTAGAGTGCTCCTAACTACTCTGCAGACACCCTCAGACATTCCACGTGCTTCCCTATCCTTTCACATTCTCTGTTGGAATGTGTTTATGTGTACCACAGTCCTGGGCTTCGAAGCAGCTGGACAAGCTATTTTCTTACCTAAACACTTCTGAGTAATTCATATGCTGAAATGAAATATAGGAATACTTACTTACTTCTAAGTTTGTCTTTGCAAATACTACTCTAAAACAATTTTCATGCTTGAATATTAGCTCTGTAAACATGACTGACAGAATTTCCATGCTTGTTAAAAAACTTGACCCGTTACAGCAATAGTAACACTGAACTGTGTTCCCTATTAGCTGCTCTCTCAAACTCCATTCAGTGTTTATGGTATACAGCAAGTGGTATACCATATCAATAAAATGCAGTAAAAATATACTCAATGTAAAAATGTATAAACAAAAAATAATAAATAAATAAATAAATAAAAGAATATAAACCCCAAATGTGAAATATGGGAAGGGAGAAATACATTACAGTGATACCGTCGAAGGAAAAATTACAAGTTTTTAATTTTCCCTTCTGAAAAGTATCATTTGCCAGTATTTTTACTACATCTGTGGGTATTGCAGGTATATAAAATCTTTCTCTTTTTCACTGTCTAGATACAAATTATACACACAAAATGAACTGCACATATACATGAGCACACACAAACACACATAATCTATGGTTTAACTCCAGTAAACCATGTAACAGATACTGAAGGCTTGTTCATCTTTTCTATAAACATGCTAACTAAAATGTCAAAACTGTACCCTTTGTAAGATCTCTCTGGTAAGTCTCTTGCATTTGTTCAAGTGCTATGGTACACCATCAAATCAGTCATGTTAGTCCAAAAGATATGTACTGAAATATCCGTATGGGCAACATTCTCTTAGTAGCTTTATTACATACTGAAATAATACCATACTTATTACCAAACTAATTTACATAATCAGATTTTCCCTTTGACTGAAATAGAACTGCAGATGCATTTTGTTGTAAATATATGGATTGGGCATGTGAGTGTGAGAAGAACAGCAGAAGACTTGCTAAGACAGAATTGTGGTATCAGGTGGGGAAGATTCTCGGCTAAGTCAACAGTATTGGATTATTTTTTCAAAACTTACTGCAAAGTACAAAATCACTCTACAATTGGAGGCTCATTATTTCTATTCTATGAGCTAAGGTAACTATCTCTGCAGAAATGACTCCCCAAGCATGAAACCAAAAGTTTAAAAAGAACTTTACCAAGGTAATACTATCTCAAGACACAGAGAACATTTTAACAGCAGACACTTGTCTACCTTTCACTGATACATGTTTGCTGTCTGGTTTTCAGCTAGCATCCAACAAGTAAAAAGGGGTCACAAAACATATTTGTAAAAAATACAGAAAAGTAAAATGTAGAAAAGTAAAAAAATTCTCTTGGGCCTTAAATCTCGCTACAAGAAAGACATTGAGGTGCTGGAGTGTGTCCAAAGAAGAACAACGAAGATGGTGAAGGGTCTAGAGAACAAGTGCTATGAGGAGCGGCTGAGGGAGCTGGGGTTGTTTAGCCTGGAGAAAAGGAGGCTGAGGGGAGACCTTATCGCTCTCTACAACTCCCTGAAAGGAGGTTGTAGCGAGGTGGGTGTCAGTCTCTTCTCCCAAGTAACTAGTGATAGGATGAGAGGAAATGGCCTCAAGTTGTGCCAGGGGAGGTTTAGATTAGATACTAGGAAAAATTCAGGGTTGTCAAGCATTGGAACATGCTGCCCAGGGAAGTGGTTGAGTCACTATCCCTGGAGGTATTTAAAAGTCGTGTAGATGTGGCACTTAAGGACATGGTTTAGCGGTGGACTTGACAGTGTTAGGTTTACGGTTGGACCCAATGATCTTAAAGGTCTTTTCCAACCTAAATGATTCTATGATTCTAAAATTGTTTGCTATTTATTAGAGAGCTTTCAAGATTAATTATCTTCACAGACAGTCTATGCCTAGGAGGTCACAGAAAAAATTCCTGAAGGCAATGGAGTATATAGCTATAGTTTTGCACAATGACCTTAAGTTAAACTCTCCATTTGATGTGTTGACTTTACAGCAAATTTGAGACTATACCTATTTGGTTAGGACAAGGCCGTAAAGAACAAACAAGTTTGACATTCTCATTTTGGCAGAGGGGCTACCAGAAAGATGTTCAGGGAAAGCACCTTTTCCATTGGATTAACCCACTGTTAATGACAGTATATAAGTCAATATTGACAGTAACGTTGATGACAGTAGCAGGAACTTTTGGTCATGCAGGTAGCAAAAAGTTCCACCTCCAATATTTTGCTGGAGAAAAACCCTGCCAACCCTTCCTTTTATGTAGAGATGACTCTCAGGAGCTGACAGCCTTTTTGTGACCATTTTCTTTTTTATCAGACACGTAAATCTAGAACCTGATCTCTGGATATAATAGTTTTATTTGAGAACTTCGCTACCTGTGTTTTAAAGTCTAAAAAGGTCCTTGTAATATAGAAAACACTCTAGAGATCCAGGACATTTAGATACCATTCCTGGAAAGAACAGTCTCATGAGTTTAGACTCCGTTTGCATGAAATCTCCACCTGAAATCGGAAGCATTTGTGGGCAGCAGGTTTTTGATATTTATTGCTATTTGGACCAGCAGTGGAGTTTTGCCAGGCCAGAGAAGCAAAAAAGATGCCTGGATGCAGCGAGAGTATCCAGAAGGGTTTGCTTTCCCTAAGATCACAACAACCGCTGCGGTTGCTGTGTGTCACATTCCCTGCATGAATACTTCAAATACGACTGCATTTCCTGGAGCCACCATTCAGGTTGGTTCACATATTGTAAAACCACGCAGTGGTTTGCCCATTTGTATACTTTCTGTCATGCTAGTGATGTTTTGGATTGAATCCTGCACTAGGGAAGACTGGTTTTGAAATGAGCTGTTCCCTAGCAGTAACCTTGCCTCCCTGCTTGGGAATTTTGTCATCAATCAATGTGAAACGTGGGTGCTGAAATTCACTATTTCCTTTTTTTTTTCTTTCTGATCTGGCCTCACTTTTAACTACCCCAGGAGATACCCTTTTTCTCAAACAGGTGGAGGTGAACCTGAACAACTCCCTATCAAACCAAGTCTGTCAGTTGGTTTGATACCCAAAATGAGAAACAAGAAAGCCTGTTCAAAGCCTTTGGGGCTCAATAAATTGAGGAAATACGTTATGCTGAGAAACTCAAGCCATGGATGACAGGCACTGCACAGTCTTGCAAAGGACAAAAGACTGAACACTTTAATCACTTATCCTAGAGCTCTCAACAGGAGATGTGACTTCACTACCGCTGAGAAACAAGGAGCAATCACTGTCAGATGAGCAGAAAGACTGATTACAGGGTACTCTGTGGCAATCAAAGTAGAGAGACCAATGAAGGAAAAAAAAAATTGATTCTTTTAAATGCTTTGACATATTTCTGGAAATGCTGAACAACATCTAGCAGTGGGGCCTTCCCCAAAAGACAGCTACTCAGAATCTAACGGAATTTTATACTCTAAATTAATTTTGGCATGGAAAATAAACTCTGAGAGAAACTTTCCCTCTCCCTTTATTGGATCAGAAAAAAGTATAGTTGCTGTAGAATTGTTTCCTCTTATGTGTATTAAGTATGGCGCTTGTGATGGTGCAGCAATAAATTCAATTTGCAGCAGTAATAGATGTTTCAACAAACATAAGGCAAAACAGGATAAACACCAGTCAATAAAAATTTTGTCAAATGATTCCTCTTAATATTAGAATAGACTTATTTATTTCTCTAATGAAAAGGGTAAAATATCTTCTCCAAGATGTAGCCTGTCACAACACTGTGACACTTGCAATGAGTGACATTTTCTCTGGTATATCTTTTTTCTATGGATGCCATAAAGTGCACCGCATGAATATGAAGTGACATCTTTACTAACATGTGGTACTTACTTATCTCCCACAATTCCCAGGTTGATTGTTGGATAGCCATGTTCTTGGATTGTAGCTAGGAGAGTGGAACGGTTACTGTCCCGAATCTTTCCTGGCAAGAGGTCATCTTCAGGATTCAGTAGCTATAAAACCAGAAACACTCTCAGTCAGTCTCCTTGGAATACTGTGCCTTTACACAAGTGAGAATTTTATTCTTGAGATTGGACAGGATATTCTTAGACACCTATCATAAAATAGACATGTAAAGTGATTTAGGGAATTTAAATTAGCAAGATATGTAATGTGCTTGTTTAGTCCAGTCCTCCATGTTGCTTACTTTGTTTCTATTGGTTCATGTCTGCAAAACCTTCTTTCTCCTTATGAGTACCTGGCTTCTAATCTCAAACATTAGAAATCAAAACACAAACTTTAAGTTTCCAAGCCATTGCTTCTATTTAAATCGTTTTAAAGGAACCTCATTGATGTTTCTAACCAGATTTAAAGATATTAAAAGAAATTTTGAAGTTCATTGTCTACTTACCAGTAAAGATGTTTTTTAAATACAACACTCTGTATTGGAATAATCAACAGAAGCTTAAAGCTCAGTTCTTATATCAATTACTGTTTTGGATGAAAAGCTTTCTCTCAAGATAGTATCATGGCAATTGCCTTATGTGTTACATATTTTGGAAGTTAAACTACAAAACATACATATGTAAACACATATTTTACATATATTAGGAATTCTTTTGTAGGACACAGAAGGACAACACAATATTGACAGGAGGTAAATAATAATAATAAGAATGTATCTGTCAAAATTACAACAGGTAGTAAGGTAAGAATAACCAAAAGTGGAGCATGGCTAAATTTTGATGCTTTGGCTAGCAGCTCTATTTTTGTGAAGATTTCCATAGGATGTTTAAGAAACCCACTGTGTAGGTTCTTTTTTAACACATGATACAAAAGAGAGTGCCCACATCAGTAAAGGACCCTTTAATGACACGCAAGAACCTTCAGTCATACCGAAGATATTATTCAGAAAATAATCACCTGTAATCCTTGTAGCTCTTTGGGTTTGTTCTTTGGTTAGCGATATGTTTCCTGCATGACGCACCCTGTCTATATTATGAAATCTGGCAAGGTTCTGTCCCAGCAAGGCTGGCCTCAGCCACCCACAGTACCCAGTAGTCACAGAGTAACCATCACTGGGGTTGTGGAAGTTATAAGAACACCACCAGATGACAAAATTCAACATATTAAAAGTTTTCAAAATCTTTCAAAATTCAACATATTCAAGCTGTATGAGAATACAGCTATTGGGTTTATGTTTGTGTCTGGATTTCAGAAAGTTTGTCTCAAAGGATACTCAAAATTATAGGTCAAACTTCATGCTGTCTTTAAACTTCCAACTGACTTTATGGAAACCCACAAGTTCTTTTGCTTTTGCTCTTCCTATTCTCTCTCTATCCCGCTCTGGGAGGGAAAGA